CAGCAATTTTTCTGTACTATAAAGCATTTTTAAAGTTTGTCCAGTGGTAGAGGCATCGATACTGTTTGATATTATGTTATAGATATTGATATTTATAAGTCTCGAGTAACAAAGTATCGAAAAAGTAAAAGATTTTTTTTAAACGGCTGACAACCCCCATTCAACAGGACGGAGTAGGGAACTTAACTAATAACAAGAGTGCATCAGTAAAGTATATTCTGTAGTTGACACCTTTTCTTTCTCTACTGGTACTCTACCTGGTACAAGTTATAGTGTCAATAACTGGCAATTTACCTTATAATTAAATAACAAAAAAATCTGATGTGTCCAACACATGACTTTCCTATCTAGTTAACCTATTGCAGCATCTCTAAAAATGTTTAGAGGATAAACTAAATATATACATTTTCCACATACATCTACCTCGAAACATTTTTCTATAGATATTCATTGAAAACGAAAATACTGAAAAATTTTAATTTAGCACTTTTCCTCCAATTTTTCCATTACGGTCCATTTTAGAAAAGTCATTTAAAAACAAAAATTATAGAGATCGATATCGCAAACAACTTTTAGATTAACAATTTTCTTAAAAATCAGAATTTTGCACATTTTGTCAAATTTCTCGAATACGGACCATTTCAGGAAAATTTGACATAGAACAAAAATTATAGATAATAATATTGTAAGTAACTTTTATTTAAAGAATTTTCTTCCCCAAACGTAAATAACGAATATATTCCATAAAATATAAAAATGACCACCAATAAAGTACCCCCCCAAATGTTCCGACTCTGTCCAAAATCTAATCAGTTCACCTCAGGTCGAAATAAAACTTAAGTTTAAAATTTAATGTTTTTTCCTTTATCCGTTTTTGAGTTTTCTTCAAAATTCGAAATTTACACATTTTCTCAAATATCTCGAATACGGTCCATTTTAGAGAAATTATTTATAGGATAAAAATTATAGAGAATTATATTACAAACAACTTTTATTTGAACAATTTTTATAAAAAATTATTTTTTTTACATTTTGTCAAATTTCTCGAATACGGACCATTTTAGAAAAATTTTGCATAAAACAAAAATTATAGATAATTACATAAGAAGTAACTTTTATTTGAAGAATTTTCTTCTCCAAACGTAAATAACAGATATATTCCATAAAATATAAAAATGACCACCTATAAAGTACCCCCCCAGATGTTCCGACTCTGCCCAAAATCTAATCAGCTCATTGGACGCTGAAACAAAGCTTAAGTTTAAAATTTGGTGTTTTTCTGTGTATCGGTTCATGAGTTATGCGACCTACAGACACACACACAGACACACACACACACAGACATCATCGCGAAAATACTCAAAACGGATTCAGGGGACCACAAAACGTAAAAATCCGTCGAAAACTCGAGGTCGAAAAAAATCATGATTCCTATACTTTCCTTATATCTGTATACAGATAGGAAAGTAAAAACATGCAAAATCTAAAATATTTCAGTACAAATATTTGAACAAACCTTATAATCTCTGACCACACACATAGATATACAATACTTGCTTCTAAGTATCACTATAGCGATAGTATTGGTAATTCAGTATCAGTGCCTAAATATCAATACTTTCATTGTTTAATATCGTTACTTCTATTGTATTAAGGCATCAATAAGATCCCTATTATCGTGTAAAATAAATATAAGCTGTCATTTAATTGTATCTACTTGTTTACAATGATTTATTTTTTAGTGTATTTGGAAATTGAAATTTTACCATCTAAAACAACAGGCAATAAATTAGAAAATATGTATCTATTTTATTGAAAAGAAGAAAACAACTTACCAAACTTATTCAAACTTATAGTTTCCAATTTCTTTAAAATCTCAAATACGTACAAGAAAAAGTGACAAGTGACATTTTTTTATGTTTTGTTGGTTATGACTAGAGAGCGGAATATATGCAAAATGCATATATTATATGCATTTTTTGCATATTTTACCAAAGTTCAGTAAATATTGCATATTTTTCCAAAATTCAGAAAATATTGCATATTTTACCAAAGTTCAAAAAATTTAAGAAAATATTGCATATTTTCGAAAAAAAAAAATGTATTACTATACTGTGCAAATCAAAAACTGTTTTAACAGATTATACAGATATATTTGAAATAAAGACCTTTTAAATTTTTGTATTTGTTTTTAAGTGTCACTTCTTGTAAATTCTTGTTAATTAGTTCTTGGAGGGTGGCATGCACTGGGTTTTTACCTTCTTAAGAGATTAAGCCCATTAAGGTAATTGTTAATAGATGGTATTTACACAGATAAAGTATTACCTACAATGCAATAAAACGGTTTATATAAAATTCTCAGTAATTTCTTGTAACCAATCTACCCTAACATCGGAATATTTTGAATGTTTTTCATTCAGTTTAATGAGATAGTATCCTCGTTATTTGCCTAGTGAAAAGTCTTGTAATAATTTGTTGTTTTAAAAGTGTCCTAAAATGTCGAGAATTTCTTCGTGGATTATTAACTTTCCAGAGTTGGAAATCAATGGGTATAAAGTTTTTTGTAAAGCTTGTGCCAAAATAGTGGTTTGCGAAAAAAAGTTCAAAGTGGTTCAACACGTGAAAACATCATTGTATAAAGCCAAATTGCAAAAAATTAAATCACAACCGGTTCAACAATGCGTTGTGAGGTCATTTCAAAACGCCGACAAAACAAAAAGTGACAAGGTGGTATTTAATCAGGACTTGTGCAAAGCTCCTGTTGCGGAAAATATTCCATTAAAGAAGTTACAAAACCTACATCTAAGAGAATTTTTACAAAAATATTGCAATTAAACCATTCCTGACGAATCTACACTCAGAAAAAAAATGTACATGATATATATATATATATATATATATATATATATATATATAAATGTAATAGAAGAAATTAAAGTTTTACTGGATGATAGCAATTTTTACATCATTGTTGATGAAAGCACAGATGCTTGTGGAAGATATATGGTACATCTTATGATTGGAGCCTTAAAAGAAAATGAACCAGGTACATCATATTTAATTGCATCAAAACAGTTAGAAAAAACTAACAATACAACTGTTACCCGATTTATTCAACAATCTCTAGCAGAATTTTTTTTACCAAATCAAATTCCCTCAGAGAAGTTCTTAGTGTTTTTGTCTGACGCAGCACCATATATGATAAAAGTAGGGCAAAACTTAAAAATATTTTTTCCAAATATGGCCCACGTTACTTGTCTTCTGCATGGAATAAACTTAGTTGCAGAAACTGTGAGAACAGAATATCCCTTAGTTAACAAGCTAATTTCGAATATGAAAAAAATATTTTTAAAAGCCCCTTTAAGAGTGCAGTTGTATAAAGAGAGAATGGTAGGGGTGTGTTTGCCCCCGGAACCCGTAATTACGCGATGGGGGACATGGATTAAAGCAGCTATATTCTATGCAGAAAATTTTGAAGCAATTAAGGATTTAATTTTGGATTTAGAAGACAATTCACAATGTGTAGTGCAAAGTAAAGAATTGTTAAAAAATCCCCTTGTGCCTAAGCAACTTGTGTTTATAAAGGTTAATTTTAGTTTTTTACCTGATGTAATAACTTCATTGGAAAAGAAAAATTTAAGTTTAATCGAATCAACAAATTTTATTGCAACAGTTTCCGATAAATGTAACAATGTTCCTGGTAACATAGGCCTTAAGATTAGAAAAAAATTAAATACAACTTTATTAAAGAATAAAGTGTTCAATGAAATAAGGGAAGTGAAAAACATTTTTGAGGGAAAATTTTCCAAAGTTTTACGTTGGCCCTGTACATTACTTCCAAAATTACGGTATTGTCCTATTACTTCGGTAGATGTTGAAAGGACCTTTTCTATATCAAAATATATTTTTACAGACAGAAGACAAAAATTTTTAATAGAAAATTTCGAAAAATATTTAATTATAAATTCCTATTATAATATTACTATTTAATATTTTTATACTATTCTATACTTAACTTCTACTAGTTTTTGTGTTTCGTTTGTTTTAAATAAATTTTTATATTACATATTTTCGTGTAATGGCTTTGATAGCGTACCAAATTAGGAACAACAATGTTAATTAGAACCCAACAGTGAATGGTCAAGTGGAAATATTCGCTAGGCATCAGAATTAATTTTTAAATAAATTAATTAATTAATTTAAAAAAACGCGTCCCGGCTGGAATTTGAACCCGGGACCCCTAAGTCCACAGGCCAACGCACTAACCACTGAGCACCCACCCCCTACTTTTTTTTAAGTATTTTTAACAAATATGCATTTGCATATTTAGGCATAATTGGACAAATTAACTGCATATTTTTGGTAAAAACGATGCATATATATGCGCATATTTTGTTATATTTTGATGCATATATTCCGCCCTCTAGTTATGACAAACGAATGGCTCTACGTTCGAAAACAATATTATGTCCATAGTACTTCTCGTGGAAACTTTTTTAGCAAGTTACTTAATTCGTTGTGTTATCATATTAGGCAGGTTAAATACGTAAGTAACAAATAGATGTTTCTCGAGGTTTTGATTTCCCTCAACAACTTCTCATTAACGTTGCAATTACGTTGTATGGGTATGTTATTATGTTCCCTTAAAACAACATCGCCGAAAGGCTTGGCAACGTTATGTGCTAGCTGGGTATATTTACTTGATTATTCTGAGAAAACCGCGCGCTTGGTAATTTGTCGTTAAATGTAATATTTTAGGTATGTTCAGAACGAAACAGAGATTTATTAACTTTGATCGAAATATGATGGTTGTAAATAAAATAGTATAAAAACCTCGGTAGGAAGTTTCATTCCTGTCTCGAGATCATAGCTAACCTCGACGCTTCGCGTCTCGGTGATCTAACTAATCTCACGACAGGAATGAAACTCTTCCCACCTCGGTGTGTAATATACTATCACATAGCCCATTGAAAGACGATTCAGCAACGAATTTCTTACAGATTTAACCTCTTCGCAAGAATCAAACAAGATGATAGTGGCTCCTCTACATGAAACGCTCAATCACATAGAGCATCTCATGAATATCGACAGTTATAACGGTTCTGTCAAGCAGTTCTATGATATCATCGAAGAATGCTCCGCTGCAAGGCCTGAGAGTTCTATTTTGGGTCTGATAGCACATCAGTCTCTAAGCATAGTACCGACTGAGCATCTCTGGTTGACCAATCTGTACAATTTGTTGCAGAAATATTTCAAGCCTGACATAAGGACAAATATAAGGTTGAAAGTGTTGGATACATTATCGCATGTTATTAAATTGAACAAGTAAGTAATATTAATGGATTTTAATGCAGATATAATGATGATAGTTTGTAGGCGACAGTATGAAGATGAGTTAATAGATCGCATTGTTGTACCCCATATGATGAACATCGTTCAAACTACTGATGTAGTCATTAGATCTACAGTAGCAAATCTATTGATTGATCTGTGTTTGGAATGCGAATCGAAAAAATGTTTGGATCTGTTGGATATACTAGAAAAAGTCTGTTTTCTACAATATTTTATTTGAAATTTTTTATTTGCTTTGTTATATTTTTTCAGATGTTGTTTAGACCATTCGAGAACCACCCACCTGATACTAATATTTCTCCTGATAATGAACATAGTGATATAAAATGTTTGATCGAGGGGTTGATAAAGGTGTTCATTATAAAGATCCATAAACTCCCCTCAACTCACGCTATTAAGATTTACAAAATGTTGGTTACGTTCTTGGAGTTGCATTACAACAAACAGAAAATTTTTGAGAACTGTCCCATCGCCAGACGAATGGTAAGGTTAAGGGTTAATTAAAGGGGGGAAATAGGAGGAAATGGGGGGATGAAGCTTTTAATGAAACTCTTTGTTCTCTAAAGTTAGAAACATAAAAATATAAATTACAACTACTGAGCATAAATAAATAATGACGTGTTTCAAGATTTTTGGATTTTTTACATTTTAAGGGGGGAAAACGGGGGGTGAAAGTTTGTGAGGGACTATCGATTTTTTTTTGTTCTCCATGAAGTTAGAAACATGAAAATTGGAATTGCAGCTACTGACTACAAATTATTAATGACGTGTTTCAGGTTTTTTTGAATTTTCACATTTTAAGGGGGGAAATGGGGGGTGAAAATTTATTTGGGAGTATCCATGTTTTTGGTTCTCTTTAAAGTTAAAAACATGAAAATTGGAATTGCAACTACTGAGTACAAATTAATAATAATGTGTTTCAGGGTTTTTATATTTTTACATCTTGAGGGGGGCAAACGGGGGCAAAAGTTTGTATGGGAGTATAATTTTTTTTGTTCTCTTTGAAGTTAGAAACATGAAAATTGGAATTGCAGCTAAGAGTACAAATTAATAATGAAGCGTTTTAGGGTTTTTGGATTTTCACATTTTAAGGGGGAGAACGGAGGGGTAAAAGTTTATTTAAAAATTTTTTTAAAGGTAGGAACTTTAAAGTTGGAATTGTAGGTTCTCATCATAAATAAATAATGAAGTGTTTCATGGTTTTTGGATTTTCACATTTTAAGGGGGGAAAATGGAGGTGAAAATTAATTAAAAATTATTAAAAATTAACAAAAATTAATAAAAATTAATGAAAAGTAATAAAAATTAATAAAAATTAATAAAAATTAATAAAAATTAATAAAAATTAATAAAAATTAATAAAAATTAATAAAAATTAATAAAAATTAATAAAAATTAATAAAAATTAATAAAAATTAATAAAAATTAATAAAGATTAATAAAAATTAATAAAAATTAATAAAAATTAATAAAAATTAATAAAAATTAATAAAAAATAATAAAAATTAATAAAAATTAATAAAAATTAATAAAAATTAATAAAAATTAATAAAAATTAATAAAAATTAATTAAAATTAATAAAAATTAATAATAATTAACAAAAATTAATAAAAATTAAGAAAAATTATTAAAAATAAATAAAATTTAATAAAAATTATTAAAAATTAATAAAAGTCAATAAAAATTATTAAAAATCAATAAAAATTAATAAAAATTAATAAAAATTAATAAAAATTAATAAAAATTAATAAAAATTAATAAAAATTAATAAAAATTAATAAAAATTAATAAAAATTAATAAAAATTAATAAAAATTAATAAAAATTAATAAAAATTAATAAAAATTAATAAAAATTAATAAAAATTAATAAAAATTAATAAAAATTAATAAAAATTAATAAAAATTAATAAAAATTAATAAAAATTAATAAAAATTAATAAAAATTAATAAAAATTAATAAAAATTAATAAAAATTAATAAAAATTAATAAAAATTAATAAAAATTAATGAAAATTAATGAAAATTAATGAAAATTAATAAAAATTAATAAAAATTAATAAAAATTAATAAAAATTATTAAAAATTAATAAAAATGAACAAAAAATAAAAAAAAATTAAAAATGAATAAAAATTAATAAAAAATAAATAAAAATGAATGAAAAAGAATAAAAATGAATAAAAATGAATAAAAATGAATAAAAATGAATAAAAATGAATAAAAATGAATAAAAATGAATAAAAATGAATAAAAATGAATAAAAATGAATAAAAATGAATAAAAATGAATAAAAATGAATAAAAATGAATAAAAATGAATAAAAATGAATAAAAATGAATAAAAATGAATAAAAATGAATAAAAATGAATAAAAATGAATAAAAATGAATAAAAATGAATAAAAATGAATAAAAATGAATAAAAATGATTAAAAATTAATTCAAATGAATACAATTTAAAAAAAAATGAATAAATATGAATAAATATAAAAAAAAACAAAAAATGAATGAAAATCAATAAAACTAATAAAAAAGGAAGTCATTTATTTTTTTATATTAATAACACGAGAATATGTGAGCAAAGTCGCGAGCAAAGTCGCGTGCAAAGCCGCGATCAATAGCTAGTAAATATATAATAATAAATATTAAAATATCAATTGAGAAAAATGATTTAATAATCACAATTACATATCTAATTCATTTTTGACTATTAATTACATTATCTTAATAAGTAAATGGTTTTCCCTGGTTTGTCAGTGGTTGTGAATTGCACCACATTTATACATAATTCTCCACACTCTATCTTAGTTGACTAGTTGGCCAAGAGATGTTTATTATCTATTAAAATCTGCTACAAATTTTTCTCATACGAAAACTTAATGAATAAGTTGTACTGCCTACCCCGCCACCCCCTGAAGAATCGTCACTGTGTACCGTACTGTCCATTAGATCCATTACATATTTTGGCCAGTAGGTTAACACTTGTAGACTGTATGGTTAAGTCTTGTGGATAGAATAGCTAAGCGCACATTGTGCACCCCCATTATTCCTCTACTTTTCATTGTCGAAAACTTTTTGAGAAAGTGTATAAATTTTTCAGATTTTCGAGTGTTTCATGAAGATGCGAGCTGATTCCGTGTACCACTTGGGCTACCAGAATGGCAATCATGTCAAATTTAGCCCGTACTTGTGTGTGGTGTACAAAAGCATCGACAGGGGTAATTTGGGATCGCCCGTGCCTCAGTCGCCGGCACCGGTGCAAAGATTGCCCGTCACGGTAACGCACGTGTCCCTCAGGAGGGCTTTTAAAACAGTCATAACGTGTTTGAAGATGGAAAAAGGTAAGTAAAATGTTTATTTCGAAAAGGAGAAATAGTTTTCTGTGAATTTTTGGTATTTAGCAGGTGTCGACTTCCTGAATAATAATATCCATGGACATTACTCAATTCTATGACTAGTTGTTAATGCACAGGGTGGGTTTTAATAAATAATCTCGTTAACTATAAATGGTATGGAAAAATGGACCTTCCATCCTCGATCTCTTTTTTTGAGAAAAACTTAATGGAATTTTCAAAAATTGGCTATTGTCTTTTGTTTTCGAGTTATAAACAAAAGTTGTTTTTTTTCAAATTTTCATTGTTGCATTATCTCGCTTATTTTTGAAAGTGGAAGAAAATTATACCTTCTTCAGGCACTTTTTTCTCAAAAAAAGAAATTGAGGATGGGATAGAATTCACCTATTTTAATTGTCGGTCCATGATTAAAAGGCTATTTTTAGGGATGCGGTTTAAGTTGATACAGTGACGGATAAAGGGAAAAAGTTATCTCGTGATTGACGGTATGTAGTGAATTAAAGACTTAACCGATTGCGAAAGTAGTGAAGGGTCTATTGACTCGGGGAACCTTGGATGTTGAGAAATTAAGTCGGTGAAATAAGTCTGCGCTGTCACTGGACTTGCTCCAATAGCTTTTGAGTATGGCTGTGGAAGTAGCACATTTAGTTCATGTTTTAAGCTATCATGCCATACTTTATAAGCATGGCGTAACATCGAAGAAGATGGCTGAACAGACTTCTTTGTTTTCTAATGCTTTTTCAATCGCATTTGAGATTCTATAAACCTGCTCTATAGTTGAATGGTTTTCTCTAAAGCCTGTGATTATGGAGGTTAATAAAACTACCTGTTCACTTTCGTGTCTCTATCTCGAATCTTTATTTCCTCCTTCAACTGTACAATCTGTCAGGTACCTACTGCTGCCAAATCATGTAGTGTTACCAACATATATCACATCTTCTTTTTTTTTTGATACAAAATTATAAGAAAAAAAAATACAAATTAGTAAGAAAAATACAAATTAGTAAGACATACAAATTAGTAAGAAAAATACAAATTACGAAAATTGTTATGGATTTAATTTTGTAGGTTTCTTTATTAGACGACTTGAATATGTTTGTCTTAGTGGAATTTCTGAATCTGTATTTTCTGTGAGGTCAGAATTTTCAAAGGAATCAGTGAGACTGTCATCTTCAGTGATGTCTAAATCATTTTCATTATCAGAAAGATTTGTATCAGAGGTTGCAGGAACTGGAACTAGTAATCGTCTGTTTCTTGCAATCTCAGAAACATAATTGTTTAATTTGACAGAGTAAGTTCGATTTCTAATTAAATTTGTAACATAGCCTTCTTTAACTTTATCATTATCAACTGTTTGTCCAATTTCATTAAATATAAATCCTAAGAATTTTATATTTTGTGAGCCAAAATTACATTTTTCAAAATTGAATTTTACGTTATGTTCTCTTGCTTTTATTAACACAGTACATAGGCGATTGTCATGTTCTTGTCTTGACGAGCCATACAAGATCAAATCATCTATGAATGTCTGTACACCCTCCATGTTAAATATTTTATTGAATCTCTTGTGAAAAACTTCACTGGCAGAATTTATGCCATATGGAAGTCTCAAGAATTTGTATCTGCCATAGCATTTATTAAATGTACAAAGATTACTACTTTTTTCATCAAGCTTAACACTCCAGAGTACTTTTGAGGCATCAAGTTTGCTCATGAATTTATTTCCTTTTAAATTAGAGGCAATTTCATCTAGAGTGGGAAGTTGAAAATGTTCCCTTTTTATTGCTTTATTCAAATCCCTAGGATCAATACAAATTCTTAATGAGTTACCTTTCGGCTTCTTGACTAGAACTATGAAGTTCACCCAGTCAGTTGGTTCATCGACCTTTTCTATTATTTCATTTTTCTCCATTTCCTTCATTTCATCTTTTAGCTTTCCTTTTAATTGAAGTGAAATTTTCCTTGGGGGTGTACTACTGGTGTAATTGTTTCATCGAGCTGGATTGTGTATGGCTCATCTAAACAAACAAATCCTGAAAAAACATCATTAAACTTTTGTTTTAAATCACTGTAGTCATTTTTAAATTTGATGTTGGATTCACTATCTTCAATTTTTTCTATTTTATATATTCTTTTTACAATATTTAGTGATTTACAAGTGGGTAAACCTATTACTATTGGCACATCTACTTCTACTACATAAAAAGTTAACACGTGTATCTCATTTTGCTAACTGCATTCCAGTGTGCATTTCCCTATTACTCTTAAGGTTTCATTAGAGAATGTTGTTAACTTGCAACCTGTTTTATCTAGGTTTACACTTGTTTCTAATGAGTTTAATTTATTTAAGGATATTTCATTGGCCATTGCCCCTGTATCTAATTTACATTTTAAAGTGCGGCTATTAACTATGAAGTTTATCATAAAATCATCATCGTTATCTAAACTTTTGTTTTCAGCATTTACTAAACCTAAGAATAGTTCATCTGAGTCTGAATCACTATCTCTATTTATTAATTTTGCCCTTTTTTGAAACAAACTTTTGAATAATGCCCTATCTTTTGACAAAAATCACACTTAGCTTTGTAGGCTCTGCATGATTGGCCTATGTGGTCTGTCCCACATCTGTAGCAATCTTGGCTCCTTCTCATATAGGACTGGCTGCTCTAGAGTAGCTTTGGTTTATTCTGGATCTGCTCTCTCCTCCCTGGATGTTCAGATATTTTTCTCTTTGTCTCCATTTGCCTTAAGCTATGAAATTTACCTCTTCTGATTTGTATTCTTCTCGGATTGAACTTTTGAGTTTTTTATACTTTTACATAGGTTGATTACCTTCTCTAAATTCATGTCGTCTTCTTATAGTAACCTTTGACGCATGTTCTCATCAGCAACTCCGCATGTTATGCATGTCTTGAATAAACTGTCCTCCAAGTCATTCAACTCACATCCTTTTGCTCTGTTTATTATGTCCGTAATAAATTTGTCAACTGTCTCGCCTTGTTCCTGTTTCCTTGTGAATAAACAGTATCTTGCATTCGACAGATTACTTTTGGGTTTGAAGTGGCTCTCAAATGTTTATATTAAAGGTTGTAATTTGTTTGCTTCTTCATTAATGAATTTGAAGGTGTTGAAAATTCTAAATCCTTCTTCTCCTATCAGTTGAAGAAGTTGGGCACATTGAGTGGCTTCTGCTTTTTTTGTTAGTTCTGTCGTTTGCAGATAGTTCTTGAATCTTTGTATGAAAAACTTCCAGTTTTCAAATAGGTTTTCATTTGTTTGCATGGAAGAAATTGCCGCCTTGAAATCTATTTTAAGGTTATGATTTTTTAAAAGTTAATTTAATTTTTGTCATCCACTGACTAAATTTCCTGTATTTTTGTTTGTTCCGTATTTCGCACTGTATTTAAGTTAAATACATTCGTATTTTTATGTTTGATTCTGGTTTCGGCACCATGTAATGATGGAGGTTAATAAAACTACCTGTTCACTTTCGTGTCTATATCTCGAATACTTTATATATCACAAAGCCGAACTGGTAATCTGGAATTAGTTTCCTTTCTTCAATGATGGGTTTAAGTCTTTTTATTAGTATTTTTTCAAATAGTTTCGATATTATAGGCAATAGAAATATTGGCCTATATGATGAAACTTCGTTCGGAGGTTTTCCTGGTTTGGGGATCATAATGATTTAAACTACTTTTCACAACCTAGGGACATACCTTAGTTTGAATGAGACATTAAACAGGTGTATAAGTTTAATTATGGCTTTCTTTGGAAGTTGTTTTAAGATTTCTCCTGTAATTAAATCAAAGCCAGGAGCTTTCTTAGGATTAATATTTGTTTTTATATCTTCTGCAATTTCCTTTGGAGTGGTTGGTCTGATAATTGAGTAATTTCTCTCTAGAGGAGCCCAGTTCGGTAATTCTTCTCCTTCATTTGGTTGCAAGGTATTTTGTAAGTGCTCTGCGAATCTTTTAACTTTTTGTATATTATTTGTGTATTTCTGATTGGAGAATTCTGCACAGTGGGCCTTTTTAATCGCTTTGTGGCTTTCCATAGAGAATAATCAGTGGATTTATTGTTTGTCAATTCACTAAGGTACTCACAAATAGATTCATTTTTGATTCGTTTTATTTAACTCTTTTTTTTTTCTGCCGAGTGGGGGTGTTAAATTTGGTTTTATCTGATGGAGCTCTTGGTCTGATACCATTTCCTCCTTAGTTTTCTTTTTGCAGAGATTAGGTCCCTTATTTCTTTTAGGTGGCGTATTATCTTGCTGTATGTTGGACACAAGTAGTTCTACTTCTTCATCTAGCTGCGCTTTTATTCTTAACGGAACTGAAAGATTGATTTTATTTTCAAGATCCAGTCTGAAGTTTTGCCAGTCTGTTATCCTATTTATTAGTCTAAGAGCGCTTTCCTTTTGGATAATGGTGTCACTAAGAATAAGAAGAATGGGCCAATGATCTGAATTCATGTCCCATGCTTCAGTAACTTAGATGTAGTTTGCTAAGTTGGTTTGCCAGTTGAATGCGACTTACATTTTATTTGTGTCATTGCTTCTTTTAGGTTTTTACCTTTAGTTTGCATTGAAGTCGCCTCCAATGATAAATCTAGGTTCTTGACTATTGAGTAACTCTAGGTATTGTTCTTTTTTATTGGTATGTCTTGAAGTTTCAGTTTTTATCATTACTCAAGTAGCCTGAAATTCTTCAGTCCTGTATCCTGTTTCTCGATGATGCTTAATTCCTTATCTAATTATTATTATTATTACTGCGCTACCCTCTCTTGCTGCACTGTGGGGATGAATTGTATGATAAACCTTATATCCCTTAAATTTAATAAAGGACTCATTGGTAAAGTGAGTCTCTGAAATTAAGCATATGTCTATGTTTTATATGTCTAGGATTGCTTGCAATTCTTGTTGCAATTCCATTAGCATTCCATGCCATTATTATTAAGCTATTACTCATTATATTGTCTCTTAG